TTTATGTGTAATATTATTTTAATGAAGAATCTGTGGTTAAAAATGAGTACTGTAGAAAAAATAATGTGGTAAAATGTGAAAGAAAGGAAGACAAGCAAAGCCTTAATCTGCAAATTAAAATTTTCAAGTGTTCTAAAGCGTGTTGCTCTTATTGGTGAATTATCTTCTGCCCTTATGGGCTATATACAAATTTGATGTCATTTTCAACTTCTCGTTTAACGCTGTTTTCAGTTTTCTGTATCATCTTCAGAAAAACCTAAACTGTGTCTAAGTGTACAGAATTGACTTCCTTGCACTTCTACGGAGAATTTGTTTGAGAACTGAATCCTTCTGTATCTTTGATTCTCTTGTTCCAATTGAAGGAACCTTTTGTAGTATTGTTTATGTCAATATATGATCTTCACAGCAACACAAGAGTTTTGTGCATAGTATTATCCCGTCTACAAAATGCTAATCAAGCCTCCTCGTCCTCACAGCAACTGCAGTTATTCTGTTCTTTTCCAATGTCCAATTGGCCCTCTTATGTGCTGTTGGTGTCAGTTACGCAGGTTTGCATTCATTACCTTCTGCTGGCGCCTTTTCTATTTCACAGGCATTCGGTGTTACTGAGATATTTGTAAATATTTTTGCAGTCTTTATTTTACATGCCTCGTTTAGGAAATTGACCCCTGCAAAGCAATCTCAAAGAGACGGAAATAGAAGGATCGACCAGAGATGAAGATCATGCATTTTTAATCGAACACTATCCTTTGCAATGTGCTGCTGAGATGAACCACTATCACTATATCCAATCTTTTTGCCAGCCTTTCAAGTGAGTAGTTGCAGTACAGCTTAATCTCTAGTTTAGTTTTCTGTGTTAAAACTGTAGTCAATCACTTTTGATTTAAATTCACTTATTTTCATGAATTATACAGCATTTTTTCTGCTTTTATGCATGAGGAGAGAATTTTATAATTATGCCTATTAGAAAATTAAGAAGATGACTATGCCTTTGTTTGTGTCCTATTCTTTTGAAAAAAAAAATGCATTTAAAACAGTGTTTTAATATCATTTCAATCACATATTCTTCAATAATATAATTACACGTAAATCTAAAATTTTTCCTTATTTTTTAACAACACATTTTTAATCGATGCGCTATTCAAAAATTCATTCATTCCTCTAAAATGGGGCTCAAACAAGGGCTATATTATCAATAAGAAAAGTAACTTATAATCTGGGACATGCGATAAAGGAAAGTAAGCCTATTTTCATGAGACAAAGGAAGAAATTTTTCTTCGGTTGAGATAAAGTTTTGAGGTATACAAGAAGTTAGAATTCGTATTTTATTAATTGTAAATCAATTTTAATAATACTTGTGTAATTAGCTTCAAACATCTATATGGAACATAACAAACAGTGGCGAATCCAGGAATGGAAATCAGCTAGGGCAGGCGCTAGTTGACCGTTGATCGTCAACAGTCAATGACTATATAGCGGTCATTTATTAACATTTAATTGAATAATATTAAAAATTCTTCGATTTATATGTAAATGCACAAAAATGTAAAAATTATATACATGTGAAAATATAATTCGATAGTATTAGAGGATCAATACACAGTCTCTTACCAGACATATAACGATTAGTATGTAAGTATTATTAGATTGTTTAAAGTTATTTATGAAGTACCAGAAAATTGAATATTGAGTGCGTCATCTCTAAACATACATGTGACGCCTCTAAAGAAAAGCTTCTCATCAGTCACAAGTAAAACTGGTAAAAGGAAACCTAAGTTGCAACCTAGAGTCTAGAGAGATTGAATTTCTCAAATAAAAAATTATTAGGGTGTGTTTGATTACATTTATTTTCCATGGAAAATATCAGTTTTTTATCCAAATTTTCACTTTGAGTGTTTGATTGCTATTTTTTTCCATGGAAAATATTTTCCAACTTTTGAAAATATGCCTAATTTTCCTTGTTTTTAAGGAAAATATTTTCCTTGGGTAGAGGTGGTTTTTATTTTCCACAAAAGATGGAAAATATTTTCTTTTCTAGGTAATATTTTCCATGTCAATCAAACGCACCCTTATAGTTAACCCCATAGTACCATGAAAGTAAAATTATCAACTAATAAGAATTGAACATACTGTCATTGGCTATTTGCTGCATCCAGCTTTTAACGTCAATTGACGATAGCTGCGACCCCTAATAAAATGTTGCCACTTATCCATTTATGGAATTAGGCAATTAGGTAAAGAGTTTGCACATTTGGGGTTTCAATTGGAGCTTCAGCCTTTCCCAATCGCCTTGTGATTATTAAAAAGTGAATTTCTTGTGCATGCATTTAGGAAACTATTATTTGGGTTTTTATTATTTTTATGTAGGCGAGGGGGCAAGCTTACTAATATAATCTCACAAATGCAACGATAAACAATGATGCTTTATTCTGCCCCAGCTAACTTTGAACATTATTCTCTATCCCCATCCCTCTATAAATCCCCAGAGGTTTCAATTGGGATTGAAAATTAATATTTTTAACAGAAAAATCGAACAAATTCTTCAGAATTCGCAACTCAGCAAGATATTACTCAGCACATTTCTATTTCTTAAGTTTTTCTACACGAATAACCATATAATTGTTTGCCCCATTTGCAGTTCTGGCATACTCCTAAAGTTTTATCGTGGTTCTATTATCAATTCTCCACGTAAACAATTGACAGAAACAGATATGGTACTAGTCTTTCACACATTCTTGAGAAAATATAAAATTCGACAGCAAAAATAATAGATAGAACTCAAAATTTGAGTTGAAGAAACACGGGGGAAGGGGAAGGGCTTCGAACACAAAAACGGAGGTTCGGAAGCTTTTTAAACATCGGAATTCTACTCATTTTAGTATTCTTACCTCCTTGAAAAGTTAAAAAAATCAAAATCCAACACCTCATAAGAATAGTTTTGGGGGATAATTATTACGCCTTTATCTACGTGCTGGCCAACGAGGCAAAGAAGCCATGTAATGATAGTCGCTTATAAGCAAGATGTCACTTGGACCCCAAAGATTTGCATGCCATTCACTCTGAGGCAATAGAGAGCCTATGAATGGTCCATCAAGGCATCGGAGGTAGCCGTATCCGTGGCAGTCGTAATCTCCATGTGATGGTTAAAAAGTATAAAGCATAGCTATGCGAAAATGTCTACCTTCGTGCTTAGATGTGCTTTTTAGAATACCGCTAAGAACTACAATAAGCACATTATTGCCCACTAAATGGCATTTTTTTTTATATTCAGGTATCCCAACTTACACTAAACTAAATCCTGGATCCCCAAGACTAGAACCTTGGAGGGGGTAAATCGCGGGTTATGCCTCAACTGGATCACAGGTTCCCTCCACCGCCTGTACATTTCTGTGCACAAGAGATCCTATTTCAAAGTGATTGCTCCATACCAAATAAATCTGGTCGCAGGTTCCCACCAGGATTCGAACCTCCACCCTGCCGCTGGAAGCAAGGCAATGTTGATTGATCCACCAGTTGAGCTGTGTCCCGGGACGTATGCAATGCCTAATTTGTTTGGCAGCATGGCATTCAACCCTTAAAATGGGAATTCTAACTTGCATTTCAAAGTTGAATATATTTCTTTTCTTCCAAACTCCAATTTTGAAGTTCCAAATTCATTCACCAAAGAAATGTAACAATAACGCGAAACTGCACTTACAGACAGGAAACAGTCTACAAACAAGTATCTGAATTATAAAAATGCTAAAAATCCTCCAAGAGTTAGAATTTTTCTCCAATTACATGTATCCATAAAGCTGCACCTCTTATTTCTGGCAAACTTTCTAACCCTACAATTACTAAACTAGATATCCTTACTAATACTACTGACAATTTAATCATACATTACATGCAAACGATCAAGAGGTACCGAGATCAAGAAAATTAGTACCTGTTCTTGGCCAGGGTTAACTTCAGTGGCAACATTAGAAACTAAAACGTGGGATTGAGATCTCTCTTTCATGGTTGGTACTCTTTTACGATTTGGGGGAAATTGAAATTTGAAAATGACCATGAATTGATTAATGATTCATTGATTTGGATTTTGGGCAGTTGGATTTAGGCCTTGTGTTTTTAAACAAAAAGAAGCCCATTCCATTCAATTGTCATCAGCTCAAAAGAAAAAAAGACAACACATTGTCTTCTTCCTGCCTCTCCGACTTTCTCCATAGCTGACTCTTTGCAAGTCTGCAACTGCAAACCAAGCTATCGGTTGTAACATAATTTAATCATATGTCCTCTAGTTCCCTTTCATTCAACGCTGAAGCTTCTGGAGACTACAACAATGGAACTGTAACTTTCACTCGGCAGTCCCGGTGGCTATTGAAGACTCCGACGGATCTAACTAGGGGCGGCCGCCTTAGTTCGTTAGTACCTGGATCCGCCACTGATAACAAAGTTTTAGTTGTATTAACAATAATTAAAAAAAATATATTCTTTGTACATAAACAGTCAGACATTAGTTTACATACAAATGATGTATCAGAAAAGAGACGAATTCTATTTTTTTTTAATACATATATATATATATTTGGTTGAAAAAAATTCTAATATGATCATATCTCACCACCATATTTATATAAACATATTATGTAAATGTAGTTTTCCAAATTTTTTTTTTTTTTTTTTTTTTTTTTTTTTTTTTTTTTTTTTTTTTTTTTTTTTTTGCATTACGAAATAATTCACAATAATTTCATTCAAATATTAAACTCAAGCATCCAAATGGAGAAGGAAACAATAAAAAGGTCTTTTTTCGTAACACAACCTCTCATTGGCTCTTGGACCATGTTTCTTGAACAATTTCAATATATATGGCGCAAGACTTCCACACATCAAGGTTAGAATGGGATCGAATGGCCCTCCAGGGCATAATCCAGTGGTGCAAATGACAGGAGTGAGGTAGTCTCAACTTTGCTGACAGTTGCAGTGTGAGGATTCGATTTTTGATATATGGAATTGGACTCTTTGTTGGCAATAGTGTGTAGGCAAGCTTTTGTTCCTTAGTCTGCTGGCACACATCCCGCGATTTACCTCTCTTACGATGCTCCAGGGACGGGGTAGTGAGGACCCTCAAAGTTGGGGTTCAACATTTTAAAATGGGTTCGAATGTTTTCACAGCTCATCCAATGCATGATTTGATTATCTTGATTTTTGATCAATGAACATTAAAAAAGCGAAATTTAAAATGCTATCCAAACTGTCCCAACATATGTTGTTTTTGGAACTATATGAACCCAGAAAGTGTTCGAAAAGAAAAAAAAATTAAAAGTAGAGAAATAATTGCTGGAGGGAGGAATAGGACTACAAGTCTACAACTTGCTTAGGGGACCCGCTCGCGATATGGTCATGTGCGTTGTGGCCGAACACTGAGAGAAAGGATACGGTGCCCCGCAATTTGTGCGCTCCTATTTCTTTAGAATTAGGTTGGCAACCCTCGTTGACAATGTACTCACAGTAAGGGGATCTACGATTTTTTTATTCAGCGTGGACTCCATTTCATGTGTCTAATTGTCAACCGGAGTTATTAACTCTGATTGTAAACAATTTTATTTGTACACATAGCACAACTGTTTTCTTTACGAGAAACGATACACCAACTCTGCCACGGCACGTGCTCACGTGACTCCTTAATCTCGTATTTTTTTAATAATGAATCGTGACAGAATTTTGCCTCAATAATCTTCAAAATAATATTTTATATTTAGCACAGACTGGTAAAGATTCTGTTGGCCCCATTTAAATGTCTTGCTTACCCTTGTCTGCTGCAGCACTCAAGCTAACATTATATCATAAAATTAGATAGGGAATGAATAATTTTTACCAATCTTTTAAATTTTTCATTGACTCAAGTAGAATGGTTCTCGTTCATGGTGGACAAAATAAAATGTGTCGATAAGCTAACATTGTCACATCAACAGTTAAATCATCAATACGTGGCAGTTTGTGAGCATAATAAACTCTTCTTTAGTGTCGGTAGAAGATTATTCTCATTGACTCGAAAGGAAGTGGATAAAAATTATGCTTCCAATCATTTCCAAATATTAAGAAATGTAACAAAAATATGAATCAAGATGAACTTTTTTGTTTCCTTGGCTATCGTCTAATTATTATTATTATTATTATTATTATTATTATTATTATTATTATTATTTGAGGAATTCTTGCCTGAAATCTTGTTAGTAAATAAGAAAACGGCACTTCAAAGATGGTGTAGCTTATAGCGAAATGTGTTGACTTCAAGGACGGACCCACATGGGGTCGTGTGGGGTTAATTGACCTCACAGAATTTTCAGATTCTTCCTTTTTTTTTTCTTAAAGTTATCCAAACAGAGGAGGATAAGGTTTTCTTTTTTCTTTTTATTTTTTTTTCAGTTGAGCCCATGTAAATTGAATCATCAGCCTGTGTCCAAAGAAAAAAAATTGTGTAAGCCTAATTCTAACAAACCACCAGGTCCACCATTCATTAAAATCTAAAATTAATCCACTACGTTTAATTCTTCCCTTTCACATACCAAGTCCACAATTCAAAAGAGAAAAGGGCAAAAGGTAATTCCTCCCAAGCCCACCATTGACATCAATCAAACGTCGAGCTATCTCACCACCACCCAGCACAACCACCACCGCCACCAACACTGTAACTGCACCGCACAGCACCACACATCACTGCACAATACAACATTGCACAGCACCACCATAGTAACCGCAAAACCATTACCGCATCACACAACCCATCACAAACCACCCTAAATTGTCACATCAGCCTCCACAAATCACGACTTCACAGATTTCTGTCCGACTGTTTCCATTTCTCCAACATGGTAACACATTAATAACTTTCAATTTTTCAATCCAAAATTTATATAAAATTAAGTGACCCATTACCCAAATCAAAGATTTCATCTCTTAAAAGTGTATGTTAGCGGGACAATCTGACAAGACAACGACTTTTGAACTGGTAAGTGGCCCGTTTCAAAGTGTAGAAAATGCAGTCTGTAGTTTGTTAGACTTTATAAATTGGACCCTTTTATATATATTTGTCGTTAATATTGATTATTGAGTATGAGTTTTTGAAAAATCAAAGTTTTTTTAATTTTTGTTTGCAATTTGTTGAAATTAAATTAACTGATAAAAAAAAAATTTTCAAGTAATTGAGCATTTTTAAATTTTCTGTTTTAAGAATTATATTGATATTAATTTTTTGACAAATGACAATAGCTTTACAAATACATCCATGATGCATCTTGATTGTGGAGTGAAACTGTGAAAGTTCATGCTAAATTATAATGTATAATTCTTTTTTATTGACAATACATCAATGGCTAAATGACAGTTTAGTTCCATATATTGAGAATGGTGTATTCGCCAATATTAATAATGATATAATTATACGACGTTTTTAGAGTATGAAAATGTGTAGATTACAGTTGTAGTAGTGATTAATGATATGTTGTTTTAAAAAAAATTGTATTTCAATTTTTGACTCCCCACAATATCGAATGTTTAGCTCCGTCCGGATTGACTTGACATCTTTTCATCTATAAACAAGAATTAATGTGCCGTGATACGAAACTGTAGAATTGAAGGTGTTTACTGTGATCGGAGATCGTGCACGGCTCCAACTATTGTTGCACAACTCGACCTCACAAAATTTAATTCTCAACAACCGCAAGGGTATAAATGTCATTGACTTACTCCACCCAACTCACCCCAACGCCCCCCTTGGAGAGTTGGTGCTATTTCATGGTTAAGATACAACTACAAATACGAAAACAAACCCCCAAAAGAAGCAACATCACTTTTACACACGCCCTCTCTACTTGCCCTTTTTTGTTAAAAATGAAAGAAAGAAGATAGGAAAGGGTAGTGTTTTGTTAGAAACAATTTTGATTCTGATTGTCGTCCAACTATATTAGACATAGAGAGAAAAATGGTGGGCTCAGCAGCATCAGACAGGGGCAAAGAAGCAGCAGGGATGATGGCCCTTCATGAGGCTCTAAGAAGCGTCTGTTTAAACTCAGACTGGACTTACTCTGTCTTCTGGACCATTCGCCCTCGCCCGTACGTACTGTACCCTCTTTATTTTCTTTATTTTTCATCTATCCCTGCTTAAAAAATCACTTCTTTACTCCGTTCTTGCAGGAGAGTTAGAGGTGGCAATGGTTGCAAGGTTGGAGATGACAATGGTAGCTTGTAAGTGTTTTATTTGACTTTTCCTAGAACAGAGCCTAATGTTTTTCTTTTGTTACTTGGATTTAGGTTGTAATTTTTTTGTTTTGGTACAGGATGTTGATGTGGGAAGATGGGTTCTGTGGAGGCAGAGTTGCAAACTGTTTAGATGAGATGGATGTAGAGGATCCTGTCAGAAAAACCTTCAGCAAAATGTCTATTCAGTTATATAATTATGGAGAAGGGTGGGTACTGGGTAGGTGTTTTTGGTTTTATAAATAATTTCTCTGTCATTCTTTGTGCTCCAATTAAGATTAGGCTGCTGCACAGGGAGCTAAAATCAAAATTTGAAAATATTTTTAGTATGTGTATTGACTATTGAATGTGTGAATTGATTGCAGGTTGATGGGGAAAGTTGCTTCTGATAAGTGTCATAAATGGGTATACAAAGAACCAGTAGAGTGTGAACCAAATATCTCCAACTACTGGCAGAGTTCATTTGATGCAGTATGTATATCAAGAAACCCTTTATAGCATGTTCGATACGTTAAGTTGAATTAGACAAGACGGGATAGATAAGAACAATTATCTTTTGTAATAATCAAGAAAGCTGACTTTTCACCTCTCTATTATTGGTCTGATTGAACTTGTGTTATTTCTATGATATACTAATTTCAGGTTCCTCCTGAGTGGACTGATCAGTTTGAATCTGGCATTCAGGTCAGAATCAATAGTTTAGGGTTAATCTGTTAATCCTTCAATGCTTAATGGCTTAACCTTTGTATCCTTTGACATGTCTTAAGACTATAGCTGTTATTCAAGCTGGACATGGCCTACTTCAACTGGGTTCTTGCAAGATTGTGAGTTCACCTCGTAAATATTTTGTTATTATAATCATGTTTATGTGATTTCGTATCACTTTGATCTCACGAGAGAGTGTATATCTTGTTATAGATGCCTGAAGACCTTCATTTTGTGCTGAGAATGAGACATATGTTTGAATCCTTAGGCCATCAATCTGGATTTTACTTATCCCAACTGTTTTCTTCAAATCGAAATGCCCCATCGTCTTCTGCAGTGCCTTTAAAGCAACCGACAATGCCAATCCGCCCTTCCCCTCACCTATTCAATTGGGGACAGATGTCAATGCCTTCAGCAACTTCAGTCCTTAATACATCTTCCAATTTTCAAAGTTCAGCTCGACTTGGCATTCCTCTGTCCAAGGACGAAATGCACATGTTCTTTCACCCGCATCCATCAGAAGCAAGGATGGAAGATATGATGGGAGATCATGAAAACGATATCAAATGGCCTAATGGATTGAGTTTCTTCAATGCTCTAACTGGACGCACGGATGACGCCAAACTTCTGTTTAATCCTAATGGCCTTGGAAACAAGCCAGAAAATCCAAATTCTGATGCTACGAGTTTGCACAACAATGGTGGGCCAAATCCCAATGAGTTATTGACCTTGGATAGCCACCGGGATAGCATTCGAAAAATGGAGAACAACAAGTTCAAGAGGAGCTTTACGTTACCTACAAGAATGACTTCATCGGCTTCACTTGATCATCACGCCGCACACAATACGGGGGAGTATAGAAATGAAGCAGGAACGTACTCTGATGTTATGGAAACTTTGGAGTAATTTTATAAAGGGCATGTATGAAAGTATAGTAGGTTGAGAAGTGTTTCCTTTGGTGTTCACCTTTGTTTGTTTTAAGCAATTTCTATTATCATGTTGCTCTTTGATCCTTTGGGACCTTATTATTATTATTATTATTTTTTTTCCTCATAATTTTGTTGTAGACTTTAGTTTGCCATGAAAAGTTCAAAAGAAAATAATTGTTCTAAAATTGAAAATTGATCATTAACTTCGAAAATTGTTGAACACTAGTTAGACTTTATTTTTCTCGTGACTCGAGTTTGGCCTTAGTGTGCTCGAATGAATCTCCCTGTCCCCAACCCGGGACAGGGAGCATCTTTATGGTGTGCTCAGTTTTGGTCATGGTCTACCTTGCCACGGCATTTTGCCTCATTATTTTTGGATCTGACCACGTAAGCATATTCCGTCCATCTTGACTATTGCTTTCTTATGTTTGCAACTCGATGGTCAACTATCCACCTTGTCGGGTTGGAAAAAAACACCTTTAATCATGGAATTAACTGGTGAATTGCGGGATTAAAGGCCAAATAGGCGTGGATACTGCCAGAACCATGAAAAGTGTCAATTCACAAATTCTTTAATAGTTCCATTATTCAACTTTCCTCTTTTGAATTCCTCGAGGACACGGTGATTTTGGTTAAAGTTAGTAAAAATTGATGGATCCTGTTAAGGATGTCAATTGGGTCGAGCCGGCTTGCGGTTCGTTGGCTCGACTCGTCAAAGCTCGGCTCGTGGGCTTGACGAGCCCGAGCCGGCTCGGCTTGTCCAAAAAAATGGAAAAAAATAAAATTTTATCAATAAAATTTGAAAAATTTGCAAAAAAATAAAAAAAAATAAAATTTTATCAATAAAATTTGAAAAATTTGCAAAAAAATAAAAAAATCACGAGCTCGCGAGCTGCTCGTTAAGGATGTCAATTGGGTCGAGCCGGCTTGCGGTTCGTCGGCTCGACTCGTCAAAGCTCGGCTCGTGGGCTTGACGAGCCCGAGCCGGCTCGACTTGTCCAAAAAAATGGAAAAAAATAAAATTTTATCAATAAAATTTGAAAAATTTGCAAAAAAATAAAAAAATCACGAGCTCGCGAGCTGCTCGTGGGCCGAGCCTAGCTCGCCCACGAGCAACGAGCCAAGCCCGAGCTCGACTCGCCACGAGCCCGAGCCGAGCTCGTGGGTTAACGAGCCGAGCCAGCTCGGCTCGACCCACTGCTATCCTTAAATCCTGTGAAATGTATAATGAAAAGTGAATAAAAGTTGTGAGTTAATAATGTCTGCTTAAAATTTGACCAGCTTTCTAAGCCACTGTTTGGCCTCCATTAATTTTTATTACATTACATTACATTTTTCTTTCTCTTATTTTCAATCACACAATCTTTCAATAAATAATATTACACGTAAATCGAAATTTTTTCCTTCTTTTTCAACCATTTATTTTTCCTTCAAAAAAATACCATTTCACCCATTTTCAACTCTACAAAATGGGGGCCAAACGGGGGTTAAACAAAAGTTTTACCAAGCATCATAATAGTCAATTAATTACTTGTTTGCCTACAAATTTTTGAGGTTCAAACTTGTGCCTTTCTTAGTATTCTAAGTAGTGACTTTGGACCAGCTTACTCGCGATATTTTCCTAACCAAACGTGGAAAAATTAATCAATATATTTTCATCTTTCCTTCTGAATAGGAACTCTTTTTGTTGAATTAATAAAAACTGTAGAATTCATGAAAAATGTGTTAGCACATAGTATAAACATTCAACTGGACAAACATGTCTTGTCTTACAAAACGTGCTTTCATCAAATAGATTTAAAATAAATTAGCGGACAAAAATGAACCTTAGACCCCCTCCCTTGTTGGCGTTCTGATGGCATGGCATTCTTTTCACGATGATACAAAAGACCTCAACACTCTTCTCCCAAACCATCCTCTTAAATCACTCCCATTCTTGCCGTGTTTTCTCGATTTTGACTCGCGGGGTTCGACCGAATCTGCAGCTTTTCTTGATCTTGATATTGATCTTGATCCCTGGTGCATCAGTACTGGCGCTGGCGCAATGAATTGCCACCTTCTAGAGGAGCAATACCGTAGAGCAACAGCTGCCGTATTTGTTGGTAATTTGGACGGAATTTTCGCCCCGTTCAGTACTTTTCTTTCAGAAGCCTCACTTGCACTTGTTCTAGCACTGCTAGAATTGCTTCTTCTGCTGTTGGTGCTGTTACTGCGCGACGACATTAAGGAGTCCTTGCTGATTATGCTGCTTGATGAACGTGAATAATTAGAACTATTTGCGGATTGAAGTTGAAAAACATGTGGTAAAAGCCGGCCATTCAAGAACAAATGATCGGCAGGAGAATCTGGGGTTTTTGGTGTAACACATTCGAACTCAAACTCGGACATGATTGGATTGGAAACTAATTGCCGCCGTTCGCCGGAGAATTTGCATGTAATTTCGTGTTATATTGATTGAAGTGAGAAAGATGACGTTTATATGAAGCTAAAGTTGATATGAACAAAGCATGAAGAGTTGGCTTTTCCCTTAAAGAGGGATCATGCCGTACGAAATGGACCCCCCTGTTGGGACGGCCAACTCCACCTTCGCTTAAATAATGAAGCTTACAACGCGGCCTCCTCATATAGAAATATAAGTTGTTCGATAAAATATATTTTCATAAATGAATGACAAAGAAACTTAGGCCCTGTTTGACACCCATTTTTATCAAAATGCATTTTTCTCTCTCTTCTTTTCAACCACACATTCTTTATTAAAATAATATTACCCGTAAATCAACAATTTTTTCTTAATTTTCAACCACACATTTTCCATCAATTTACTATTCAAAAATACATTTTCACATAAAAATTCCTACCAAACACCCTCTTAGTCCCATTTGATTCTCATTTTCATCAAAATACATTTTTGTCTCATTTCTTTTTAACCACATATTTTTAATTAAAATAATATTACACGTAAATAAAAAAAAATTCTTATTTTTCATCCCCACATTTTCCATCAATCTACTATTTTAAAATTCATTTTTCCATAGAAATGAGTGTCAAAAACCCAGTATATCGACGTTAGTTAGCTCAGATGTAATTGATCATATTTTTAAGCCCCAGTTTAGTGTGGTTAAAAATTCATATTTTTAGAGATTTTGATATAAAAGTGAAGAAATGTATCATTGAAAAGTTACAAATTGTATAAACTGTGTAGTTAAAATTAATTCTTGATTTTTACTTAAATTCAAATTAACCTTTTAAACTACACCAAACATGGACTAAAGAGGAGAATGATCTACTAAAAACCGTTGCTTAGCCATTATATGGTATCAATTAATTGATAAATTATTTAATTTTTGGAATCTATTATGTATATCTTCATCGATTGATTGATGTATCATATCACAATTGTTCAATATAAAATAAGTAATATTGCTTTGTAGTAGATCATTTATCCTTTAGATAACGATAATTACTGGTATTATTTCAAAATTAATTACTATTATATGGACTAAGTGAGAAGTGACCAAAAAAATCCAAAAGGATAATGTAAATTAAGATACATTTTCACCTTAAATCTCGTACTTTATACCATATTTTTACATAGTGGTTAACTTCATTTTTCTTGCTTTTGACCAAGACAACTTGCAAATTGAATGGCCTCGATTAAATGCACAAGTCCAAGAGACAATTTAGGAGTGATTTTGAGAATTGATTTTTTGACCTTTAGGAGAAAAGGGGGTCCATCTGTGAGAGAAAAAGTCAAATATGACAGCTGAAATAGTGAAATAATGGTCAAAAAATCAATTTTTTGGAGAAAAAATAACTCCCAAATAGGCTCTAAATATACATTAATGGACTTCAGTTAGCTTTATAAAGCGATAGAGAGATGTATACATGTCTGCATATTGGGTGGGGAAAATCAAGCATGGTGTTGGGAAAGTGCAAACAAGTCCCACATTGGTTTATTAAGGGTAGATGATGGACTTATAAAAGATTGTAGAACTCAATAAGTTAACTTTTTAGCGTGAAACTTCAATTCTTCGTAGATCTGTAATCTTCGGTACAGTGATATAATTTTTGTTAACAATTAAAATTTAACTTTTGTTTGAAAAGATTATTATAAATAAATCTAATTTTTGGAGAAGAAGAACAAGGGAACTAGGCGGCTAAAAAATACAAGTGATTGACTCTATGTACCATGATTGGGACTAGGGACATAGGTAGGTTGGGAGAGATTGGTAGGGTTGGGGTCGCGAATTCAATAGTGAGAGGGCGGATGCTGACATTGGATAGATAGATCAAATAAGATTAGGACTAGATAGGGATAGACATATTTATTTATCTCTTCATTTAATAAAAAAATCGATTTAAATTTAGGTATAAAGTAATTCAAATATCTAAGTTTCACGTAAATATTCAAATACCTCTAGCAAGTCTACCTCGATCTTCATAATTGAATCACGGTCAAATGTTATATTGTACAAAGACAAGTTTAAATATTTTATAATGCAATTTATAGTTAGACTTAATACTACATATTAAATGTGTTTGTTGTAAATTTATTTCGCAAGTGGATGGTATCATATACAATTAATAAAGTAATGAATAGATTCCCACGAGCATGACGTAGTAAAAAAGTAGTAGAGTTTTTTATGGAGTATTGAAGTTTCAAACAACATTTATGTTGAAAAACTAATGTCATGTAAAGACAAAGTCATAGTACGCTTTGTCACCCTTCTGAGGACCCATTCACACATCGTAAAAGGGGGTCTACGAGGAGGAGAACCACTTCCTAAATGTCTAGTTCAATTATGTATAAGTTGTGATCGCAACCAATTTCTCTGAGTGGTGAATCAAGGGGAAGACTATCACTTTTCAAAATTAGTTGGACGAAATTTGAATACCTGAGTCATAAAAAGAGAAAAAAGAAAGTAATGAATAGAATATTGATACTACGAGGACTGATTATCTACTTATTAACTTTATTAAAACTAGCTCTAATTTGGAAGACGCACCATTATTTTTTGAGTTTGAACTTAATTATATCTAATTATCTACAAAAATAAGTAATTAATCA